ATGGCAATAGAGGATGATTAGCAGAGGTTTGTGCCATCACAGTAACATATCGCTTTTCAGAAGAAAATTGAGAGACGCAAAATTTGCCGTTTTTGAATGTTTTTCAACGCATACAAAAAGCACAGGTAACGAAATGGTAAAGACAACGACCTAATGATGTCATGTTTTCGAATGTAGATTTTATGGAACATTGTTGATTCGTGCCCTTCGACAGCAATGTCTCGTCGCACATCGTTGGCTATATGTCGCGGTAGCACCGACAAGAGAATATCTTCTTGTTTGATATTCTCCCTCAGCAACAAGATTCGTCCTTCAACACATCTCCTTCAACATTTCACATTCAAATTATGATGCATTGCTCTTTTCTGAATCCTTTTCAAATTTGCCTTTATCATACATTTCAGTATCGCAATTGCATTTCACGATAACAGCTGAACGATAGTTTAATATAAGTACAAATTATAAGCTTTCGAATATCATCTGATCGTTTGCTTTCATGTAGTATCGTTAACGTTCGCTGCTTTAAACCATCTCACTCAGGAACAAACTAATGAAGATTGTCATATCAATAATCCTGTGAAGATCAATATAGCCTCGAAGGCAAACTCCTTTTAAGGTTAATCAAATATATATGTGCTACATACTCGTATGTTTATTTCATAATCAATTTATAGCAGTCCTCATTATCATGCTATTCTCTAAAGTCTTTTCAATTAACCAATACTTGTTCATCAAGTTCTACTATCCCTCAAAGTGGTTTAAAATTTCAAAAGAAACCCCTCAAGCTGTTATCATTATGAATAACTTGCAGATATACAAAATTGATTGAGTTCATTGCGACGAAAGAATGATTTATGATTTATGTTCGAGTTCAATTCGCGAAGTATGCTAATTTTACAATTGTTTTCAATTCGAAAATCCCATTGCAGCAGTTGAAACAGTGTTTTGTGTTGCCACAGACAACAATGCGTAATTAAGTTATGCGAAACACTGCAACAGTCTCACTCAACACCTCATTCAAATATTCGGCCATTTGAGTGTGTAACGGCTCTCACTGTTCTGATGCTCTGACTTTGGTTAATTGCCCTAACTGTGTTCAACTAGAGAAATCCTGTAAAATTGATCTACGATAGCGCAACACCTCACTACGTAACAATAGATCCTTCGATATTTTTCGCCATATGATTACACTAAATTTAACTCAGAGCTAATTCCTCACGATCAGAATTTAATAGTGTTATTGAAAAGGTAAAGGAGGAACTAGAAATACGTATAGTTTTTAAAACAATGTCCGATATATTGAATTCTGCAATTCGGTGAATCAAATGAGTTGCAACGGAACGAACCTTGTTTGCCGAAATGTTTTCCGTTGCACCAATTCTGTGGGATAATAAACGAAGAATCCGATAATATTCATAGCTACTAACAACAGAAATTCAATTATCACCTAAAATATTCGCATTACAGTTTTGCGAATAAGTCTCATATAAAGTTCAAACACCCCAGCAATTCGACAAGTGCAAAAACTTTTGTTTGAAAAATGGTTGCCCACAGGAACTGGGTAAATGTCAACACGAAGCAACTGAATGAAAATGTACTCACCTGTCTGAAAGTATGAACTTGATAAATATGAAGTGCTAGAACAGTAACAGTGATTAGTGACGCAGCAGTAACAGAATGTATCAGCTGTAATGGTAATAAGGTGTAACAAAGGAATAGGATTAGAAGAGCGAACGATGACAATAATGATAGTGGTGCTGATATGAGCATTAAGACACTGCATCCGATGACAATCCATGACAGCAATATATGATCTTGACGTCTCCATACCAGTAATGCCACTATAAATGCATCTAACAATGTTAATATCACCACTATTGGCCATATACCATACGCTATTGTGATGACTGTTTCCGCACTGGACAGTACCAATAGGCACGTAAATGCTGACTGAAATTTATCAACATCTCAATGGTTTAATTCAATTTTTATCAACATAATTAGATGATGCAACGAATTTTGTGTATTATCCTCTTCCGTAACCATTTTTTGAATTAAATTTACAATACGTTTTCGATGTTCGATCAAACGGTTCATCACGGTTATTTATGCACCGTATAAACGACTCTTCATATCAAAGAAGGCAGCAAAATTTTCAGTTGAATCGCTTTTTCTTGTTTGCATTCTTCATTCGCGATTTGTCAATAGATGCTACTTGTGATTGTTGTTGAATTGAATTTGATCATTATTGTATGAAGGACACTCAACGAAATTTCTTTTGATTTTGTGATAAAATTTTATTCTCAACTGCATAGTCGGATCGGAATTAACCTCTTCTTCATCACTTTTCGATATTCACAGAGAAGATATTATCTTATGCATTGCAAAATGAAGAGCTGACTAAACATTCAGTAAATTGCATAAAAATGCTGTTAGTTGTTTCAGTGATCATTATCTCATAAATTTAGATGTATACTCAAAATGAGATAAGCAATAAAGCATTTTGAATCAGCTCTATTCTCAGATATTTTCTGCCTTTCAAAGGACAATTTCATCAAGATTCTACTGAACGATATGCATGCTGTAAAATTCGATGAAGGTTTAATTTGAGCTGAGAAATTACGATTCGAACGCAGCAGTTCTTAGCATTTAACACACTGAATTAAGAAATATTTGACCAAATAGTAGTGTGTTCCTAAACAAGAGCAATTATGAGTGATAGAATATCAGATAATTAATAGTTTCATCTTGCTCATGCTGTGAATGGTCACAAATGAATAGTAGTCATATAAGACCCATACGATCAAAACTCCTACTCATCTCATCGGAAACACAATGAAAAGAGACCTTCAAACGTCCAGAATTCATATGGACAAAATAAACGGGATAAAGTGAATCGGATTGACAAAGCTGGAACACAAGACTTTCATCTTCTCCGTCTTCGCATCGATTCAAACTTTCCAAGATTTCACTGCTATCAATTCCTGTAAACACGTCATCATTGAATAACAATCACACAAAAAACTTCACACTTCATTATTGGCCGTTTTTTGATTTTGAACTGAAAATGGGAAGAATCGATCAGTCGATCAAGACCGTACTGCTAATTCACAAGTTGATTCATAACCCGAATGCGACGTCCCGAAATTTACAGTGAATTCGAAGTGCGTATCAATGAATTTATCGATGAAAATGGCTGAAAGTATATCCGATTCAATAATTTCATCGTACCAAAAATCTTCATCAGTCTATTGGTAAGCGGTATGTCTCAGTTGGTGGTGAGCGATATTCTAAATTTCAGTTGTTTTCGAGGATACTTTCACTCAAAAGTGGCCGAATTTCAAAATTCTTTGGTTGGAATCCGAATCTCAGAATTTTGACTGAAATTCGTCGGATTTTANGATTCAATAAATTTTTGTATTTTCAACAGCCAAAAACTGAAATTGCCTAAAGAAAGCAACTTTTTCCCGTTGTCGAGCAATCGAAGATTCACTCAGTCCAGCTGCGAGGAAAGTATTCAGTTTGAGTTTGATGAAGTCCGAGAGAAAACGAAAATTAATTTTCTTCAATTGCTGGTTAGAATGAATGGTAGTATTCACGTGGAGTTGGGTGGGAAACCCGAAGACTAGGTCCAAATACTATTTGGATTAATTTTTCGATAGTGCGAAATCTGCTACAAATCTTGCAATCGCAGATGATAATCCTTCATCAATACAACAATTTTGAAATCTGAAAAGTTATTCACCGAATCGAGATCCGGCCAAAGGTTCCGTGGCGCTACCGTCCTTGCCATTTGTCATAACTGACAACTGAAATAACATAAATGTTCATCGCAAATTTTCTTTCGCACAGAAGTGATTGGAGTAATGAACAAATGATTTTTTCGCGATATACAAATGGAAATGCTTTTATTCATTTGGTGAATATCAGTCAAACAATAACATCGACTTTATGTGGTTGCCTAGAGATACGTAAAGCATCTCTGCAGAGATCATCAACAACTCAAGTGAAATGCGGCAGTGAAGTTATTTGAAAAATCCTTCAAAAACAACAACCAATGGATCCTCATAGAAACGTTCAGGTTTGGCGCACATTTACTGCACCTATTAATCATTTTTCTTCACGAACTTTTCCATTATCATTCTTTAGAAGTTTCGAAATCTCAGAAAATATTCATCATTCGTCTCAACCGATACTGATTTTTGTGATTGATTTCTGATGGATATGGATGAGAAAAGATCGATCTTGCTTTAGAATTTGAGCAGTTGAATAGAAAATGTTAGCGTTTTGTTAGGGTTTATTCTTATAGTCGGAATAGGTTTATTCATTGGATATTGCTGTGTCTATCATCTTCATAAATACTAAATCAGTTCGTTCAACTTCATCAATGAATAAATCATTCCCTCGAGGCTATTTACGGGCCAGTCTTTTTGTACGATGGAATGCATGTATAACGCTCTGTTCATCTGCATCCAACGATTCATTTCTTCCTTCCATCTCACCGGCTTTCAAGTTTATAAGAGTAAAAGTACGTTTTGGAACATAAAATTAGCCAAGCTCATTAAAAATCAAAACCACTCGTAAACTATTCTATTTTATCGTCTAAAGTTTAGTTGACTCCATCTGGCATTAGCAGTTGGCAACTCGATAAAGAGTACTCAATGCGATGATCCCTTAATAAAACATCAAAGAACGCCGTTATTATCGCCTAAAAACACCGCGCAACAACATCATCGATTATATTTTCCATATTCGCTATGATTTACGTTACATGTCACAGATTTGACGTGAACAATAAAATCTTTCAATAACTTTTAGACTAACTCTTATAGCTCATTATATCCGGTTTCGTTGGCTTTTCGGCTTAACTTTAGAAGGAAAAATATGGTTTAAAACATAAAATTCGCTGAACTCACTGAAGATCACTCATAAACCATTTTCTTTAATCTGATTTTCAATAGAACCTCGAATAGAGCAGTTATTATCAGTCCTCACACATCGTGCGTCAACAAATTTCATTTTTTCTCGTCATCAATAATTT